CACTGCCCATTTTTCCCTATCAAAGCTTCCACAAACTTCCTCACTAGTACACTTTATTCACAGTAATTTAAATCCCTCTGTCAGATAATCAAATTTTATATTATATTACAAATCCAGTGATAATTAGGGTGGTATTTTTGGATTCATCTGACATGATTCTTCTGTTCCCTAAACCCTCTTTAATTTGTGCACACAACCCGTGTGATTCAGTTATGGCTAACAGAAGCTGTTGTTAAAGGTGGTATCTGTCGACATCAGTACGAAGGAGATCCTTGGAGACATAGTGCTGGTGAAACTTGAAAAGGAGGAATTCTTGTTCAATGATCAGTGGTACTGCAGATGCATCAATGTGACGACTCCCTCTGGAGAGCGCGTCGAGTTCCCCTGTTATCGCTGGATAGCCAATGAAAAGGAAGTGGTTCTTCGAGATGGCAAGGGTGAGTCCCATCTGGACTGAATGAAGCGTATCACAAATACTGTCGTTTGTGTGTGTCTGTGTGTAATTATGTATGTATTTGTGCATGTACATTTAGGTCGATTGCCTCAGGATGATAATATGAAAGAGTACAGGCGCATGGAACTGGAATCCAGACAACTACTGTTCAGGTTTGATGCCACAGTTACAATAAAGGTCAAGGTCAAGCTTTATTGAGATCCCTTGCGGGCAATTTAGGTGCAGCGAAACAGAAATACAACAGACCCATACAATACATTCCTATAAAAACATAAATACATAAAAATATCTAAATAAAATAAAAAGAAAAATTTCCCTAAAAAAATCCTTTCGAACCATTTAACACCCGAATTGCACAGGGGACCAACACATATTTATATCGGTTACTATTTTATTGCTAAACTCTTGGCATAAAATGTCACCAGACACAGGTCAGCATACAAACAAATGAAAACCTAGTGGAGGAACAGGAAAACAGGACAAAATAAATAGTGCAATGAATTCGATGCAGATGGACATGGAACTGTAATCCAGACAAAACAAAAATCAGGTTTAATGCCACAGTTACAAGCTGTAAATGTTGTCTTTATTTTTCCCTAGATGATTCAGTTGGCAGTTTGTTTTACAGTTTAAAATGCTTAACACTCCGATACTGTTAATACACTTAGACTAGAATAAAAACTTTTGATTTCACCTAAAATAATTCTCCAAATAACTGAAAGATTAATTTTGCGGTTTCTTGAAGGTGGAAGGAGTGGCGCCCTGGTTTCCCCCCTGAGCATCGATGCCAACACAGGCACTGAACTTCCTTTGGACATTCAGTTTGAAACTGCAAAAACTGTGGACTTCTCTTTGAATTACCTTAAAGCGTAGGTTACACCGTTTGCGTTCATCTCTTTGCACGTATCACCAACAGATATGCCTGTTATTGATTTCCTCGTATCACCAATATGCCTGTTATTGATTTCCTGTGACTAATGCCAGGAAATATCTCAAAATAAACGGAGAGACAAGTGCAGCTGAAACTGAACCAGACATTATGAGCATTCAGTTGTATTGTTCTTGCCATGATCTTCTCTTTCAGGATTGAGAATCTTGGTCTTAATGAACTTATGAGGTTGTTCCAGTCCTCTTG